ACTAAGAAGCTATCATTCAACAAATATGCAGAAGAAAGTGGAGATGTATTAGGCATACACTGAGGAGACCGATAGGGGATATCGCGCGTCAGGCCATGTCGTCGAGTGGAAGCGAAATGGTAAAGGACGAGTTGGTCATCCGAGGCGAGGGTGAGATGGAGAAGATGATGTGAGGAAGAGCCAGGTTGAAAAGACTGTAGAGAAGAGAGTGGAATGGCGAAGTGCTACTGAAGCGCTATGTTCCATTAGGAACCCAAGGGAAAAAATATTAATAGTAATAAGATAAAGAATAAACATACAAATGGACATATCAGCTCATCAGTTTAACTTACCCCATGGAAGAACTACAAAATACAGAGTAGCCAGTGAATACTAAAGTCCGATAAGCGAAAGGAAAGAAATATACTTAATAAGCAGGTAGGAAACAATAAGGTGTTCACTAAACCAAACAATATAGAGTGGATTGGTATCATTCACTTTATTACTTACAAAAACTGGCGAACTTCAAGATGTATTACCTTCTCCATTTCTTTTCTCTTTCTTTTTGCATGATTTATCATATTATGTTGAAACTAATCTTATTGAGTTGGCCGATGACTCGATGGTTTCTATGTCAGATAACTCTTACTTAGATTGCTTTAAATCAAATGATTTCTTTCTTGAAGTTGATTTGTAGTCTTCTTCAAATGGTTTCAAAGCCATCTGATTTTAACCTCAGATGTAAATAAAACTTGTATGAGCTGATTAAGTTACATGACTGTTGTTGCATTGATGTTATTACTGTAGAAAGTAAACTAAGTGTTAAGTATTTCGGACTGAGTTTTATTTCTGATCTTTTTTTGGTCATCTCATATCTTATTGACTTCCAAGAAAACTTTCGTTTAACACATGACATAAAAAATCCGAAACTCAGTCTTATAACTTGACGTCTACTTCCACAGTTTATTAATTCCTACATTTTACTAACTCTTCACTACTGTTCCGCGTTATTCTTTCTTGATTTACTAAAATACCACTATGTTATATTGTGAAGGCATTTGAAAGCTGTCAGTAGGGTAATTGCTGTGTCTTTGATCCAAAAGATTAACACTGTAGTTGATAGACGTCTTAGTTCAAGCCAGCAACTAGCTACAATAATTTTAACTGACACTCAGCATCCACTTTATTCATAGCTCTCTCCTTCAGGAAGGGCAAGAAAAAATTACTTCAGGCTGTATTATACAAGAATTTGACTGCGCCTTACCTATCACATAAATTATATGGAGAAAATAGTGTTAGAACAAAACTTACTCATCAACTTTGCCACAATAAATAATCTATCTTCGCACTATTTTAATTAATAAAAAATTTTCCTCTTTATTAATATTCTTTACGTAAATTGTTACATTTACACCATTCGAAACGTTGTAATGTAGTTTATATATGTTTTGCAATATATCATGCTGAAAAGTATAAATTGTGCGAGAAACTGTTTGAAATAAAGTGATTATTATTATCCTTATGCACAGTTTAACGTAAAGTTTAGAATTCTTAACTTCCATTTCCTCATATATTCACATCAAAAATCTTGAATCCCTTCAAACTATCTACTTAAACAGTTGTTAGCTTCGTCTATCAGCACAATATCATATTCTTCATTTCCTGCCCTAATCCCTTCCAAAATAAAGATGAATTTAGGGGCGATTGGACATTTGTAAACCATAACACGAAATCCCTTATGGTTCTCTACATTGGTAATGTATAAATCTGGCAGGAAATTAGGAATGACGAAAATATACGTGCACTTCAGACAGACGAAAACAGTTTGTTTACCTGGTCAGAAAAATGGCTGGTGCCTATCAACGCATGCAAATGTTTGGGCTTACACTTGCCGCACACACATAGAAACACCTATTATATTGATGGGGCTCTTCTACACTCAGCACTGATCTACAACAACGGAGGAGTCATAGTGAGTTATGACTTGAAAACCACGGTACATTGTCGATTGGTAGCAGCTCAGAGTCTTAGGACACGTTGGACAGCATGTTGAATGGTTACAAAAATAAGTAGTGATATGTTCACTATCTCATACATACCCTTATTATTATTATTTGTCCCTTGGGTTCCTAGTGGAACATAGGGGTTCAGTAGCACGTCTATAGTGCACTCTCTTCTCTGTAATCCTTTGAACCTGGCTCCATGACTGCCCACATGCTCTCTTTTCTTCCTCACACGATCTCCTCCATGTCACCCTCGCCTCAGGCGACCAACTCGTCGTCTCCCATCTGGGTTCCACTCGACGGCTTGGCCTGATGCATGATGTCCCCCCGACTGGTCTTCTCCGTGTATGCCCAATCCATCTCCACTTACCTCTGCATATTTGTTGAGTGATAGATTCTTGGTTGGTTCGTGGCCAGAGTTCCTCCTTGCTTATTCTTCTTACTCTGGCCATCTGAGCTTCAGTAATGAGCCAGTGTAGGCACTTGTTGATGAATGTCTGTAGTAGTGTTGAAAATCGGCATCTTGTTCACGCTTTGTATTGAGTGCAGAAGATCTCCACACTGGTTTCAGGTTAATCAACGCCTGTCTTGCTGTCTTTCCGATCCTGGTTGCATTGACGTCCTCGTCTGTGCCACCACCGCCTGTAGTTGAGACAGTGCTGCTCTGCCCAGATAGGTGAATGAGGCTACTTCCTTTAGGTTTCTCCCGTTCACGGTGATTGGAGCTTGTTGTTGTTGGTGGTGGTGTTGTTGTTCGGGTATCTTCATCACCTCTGTCTTCTCTATATTCACTTGAAATCCCGTCTTCGCTACCTCACCTCTTCTGCAAACTTGTAGGTTTTGCCTGTAGATCTTCAAGTTTTTGTGGCATTAGACACAAGTCATCGGCGAAATCTAATTCTTCTATGTTCTTTTCTCCGGTCCAGAGATTGTATCCCCCATCTTCTCGCTCCTCACTGTTTGTTGCATGATCCAGTCCACCACAATCAGGAATATCATGGGTGATAGTAGACGGCAGCCTTATTTCACTCCTGTCTCCGCTTCACTTCAAAGGCATCAGTGAGCTTTCCATTGTGAATTACTTGTTATGTGGCGTCTTCACATAGTTGTTGAATGAGATTGATAAATGTTTGTGGTATTCCGTAGTGTTGAAGCAACTGCCAAATTACTCGTCGGTTGACGCTGTCGAAGGCCTTTTCAAAGTCGATGAAGTTGATTTGAGTTGACTGCCATTCTATACTCTGTTCTATGATGATGCGTAGTGTAGCGTTGCAATTTGGTCTGCACATGATTTGTACTTCCTGAAGCCAGCCAGCCTGTTCGGGTCGTAGTTTTGAATCCAGTGCATCCTTAAGTCTCTCCAGGATGACGCGGCTTAATATTTTGCTTAGAGTGGACAGGAGAGTGATTCCTCATCAGTTCTTGCAAAGACTTAGGTCTCCCTTCTTCGGCAGTTTGACAAGGTAGCCCTCCTTCCAATCTATCAGCAGGTACCTTTCCTTCCTTCCAGACCTTCAGCAGTAGTGGTGTGGGCATGTCCGTTGTTGTCTCTGCGTCTGCTCTCAGTGCTTCTGGTGGGATCCCATCTGGTCCTGCTGCTTTCCCGCATTTCAGTAGTTTGATGGTGTTCAGGGCTTCAACTTTTGTTGGAGGATTTGTGTTCACTTCTAGTTCTGTGGCATACACGCCGTTAGTTAGACATAAATGAGAAAACCGTGCATGGGCGTCAAATTCCTGTCTGAAAGTTGACACAGACCTTCTGGGAAGAGTTCGGAGGACAGTCACTCGTATGGTCCCTGAGATGGCTGGCCTGACCAGTGGGGATCGAACTGAGGAGCTTAACTTCTTCTCTTTGTTCTATCACAGACTGAGGGGAGATCTAATCACGGTACACGGAATTCTGAGAAATGACTTTGAACCTGATCTATCTTCTCTTTCCCCTCCCACTAGGTCGGGACACCTCAGAGGACATAGCTGGAGAATACAAAAGTAAAGAACTAACATAATCTCTGCAGAGGACTGCTTTTTGCGTCGAGTAATCAACTCATGAAACTGACTTTCAGAAGGAAAGGGTGTCCACATTAACAATTGACTCTTTCAAAAGGGGATTGGACGAGCACAGAAATCTACAGCCTTCTACCCTCAAATAATAAATCTGAAATATATTTTCAGACTACTTTTGTCAGAGAAATTTTACAAATTTTTCAAGTGATTTTCTGCTCTCGGAAAAACCATTACAAACCATTTCAACACTTTCCCTCAACTGTTTAATTAAAGGCATGATACACTTTGAAAATACTGTATGATAACTGAAGGTGAGATGCAAATCTTTGTCCTAACCTGGTTTGAACCAGTGACTTCCAGGTTACTCGCCTGGATTTAGATTGCAGTGAAAAGTCCTAGATGGACAACCAGTGTAAATAGGATGAATGGATAGTAACGCATCATAAATTGGCATGACAGTCGGGTAAAATTGTTAATGATTGAAGTGAAACTAAATCTGGTCAATAACTAGGTCTGATAGCTCAATCGGTAGACTGCTGGACAGGTAACTTGGATGTCATTAGTTTATACCTAACAACTACCTAACAGCTCAACAAATATGCAGAAGAAAGTGGAGATGGATTGGGCATACACTGAGAAGACCAGTCGGGGGAACATCATGCGTCAGGCCAAGCCGTCGAGTGGAACCCAGATGGGAAACGACGAGTTGGGCGTCTGAGGTAAGGGTGATATGGAGGGGATTGTGTGAGGAAGAAATGAGAGCTTCTGGTTATAGGTAATTGTGGATCTAGGTTGAAAAGATTGCAGAGGAGAGAGTGCAGTAGAGACGTGCTACTGAAGCCGTATGTTCTATTAGGAACCTAAGGGACAAATAACAATCGACTTTACCTGAACAATAGACATTATCAACACCCAAAATGTTTACCTAACAGATGCATATCGAGGCAAAAATGTGTCAAATAGTTTGTTAAACCAAAAAAGAAAACAACAATTAAACAATATTACATGACTTACTACTTGTAAAGTGTTTTCATTAGTATCTAATATCCTTTCAGGGTAAAATGACTTAAAATATGGGATATTTGAGATGGAAAATAATAATAATAATAATGATAACAATAGTAGTAATAATAGTAATAACAACAATAATGATTATGATTATTATCATAAATATAATCTATTTTCTTTGGTCTATTGTCAGTTGTATGAGTAGATGCGGTTGAGTTAACATCAATACGAATATCTGAATGTATATTTTTATTGATTGACATATTGACAACTCCCCATTTTGATCTTGTTCTCGATTGTTTATAATCACTTTTTTGATGTTTTGATCGTTTAATTGATCTACTGATTGTCTGAATATTTATAGATATGATAGTATTAAGTGGATTCAATGAACCCGCCTGTGTTGTTGAATACTTTTGATCACTAGTATTATTATTTAGATTAGTATTTTGAATTATGTTAAAAGGATTGTATTTTGTATAATTTGAAAGTTTGCCACATGTTATCCTGTAGATAAACAAATAAAAAGGAATCAATAGATAATGACAAATTGACACTAATTCATCACAAACTGATATCAGTAGGAGAATCACTGGAAACCTATGAGCATTGGACAGCTGTTCCTTCCTATTATGAGACTCCTAAGCAGTGTTGACTCATGACCCCATCAAGAAATTTATCCAGGACTTTCAGGTTCTACGATCAGTCCGTTGTCATTGGACTATTGGGTCGGAGTTCAGTGGTCCACATTTCCTACTTCTATCGGTCCACAGTATAGCATGACCTCCATCCAATTCCATTGTTGAGTAGCTGTCCTCACATTCGACATGGTTTATCACATCGCAGGCGGCTTCCATAGAACTTCAATAATCTCATGTAGAAACAAGTTACTAATGAGTAAATGAGTGGTTCAGTTCAAAGATATGCGCCGATTTATTTATTGTTTTTGTATGGGATCTGATCGCCCCTATACCCCATACTAGCTGAGTGTTTTACGGCAAGTATGAAAGACACAACATTATCAAAAATAATCAGTGAGCTTCATTTCGACAAAAGATACGTAGATGATGCCTTTTTTATGATTTATGACGAGAAATTGGATGTTAAAAACCTGCCTAAAAACTTCAATAGTGCTCATCCCTTTATCAAATTCACTCTAAAAGAAGGATCGAACTCGAGATTTCATTTCCTTGACGTTCAACTTCAAGGAAAAGATGGTAATTAACTTCAGAGAACTATTTACAGAAAGTTCACTTGAAGAGGGGAGTTTAATTATTTTCAGAGGGTGATATGGAGGAGATGGTGTGAGGAAGAAATGAAAGCTTGTGAGCAGTTATGAAGTCAGGTTGAAAAGACTGCAGAGAAGAGAGTGAAATGGAGATGTGCTACTGAAGCCGTATGTTCCATTAGGAACCCAAGGGACAAATAATAATAATCCTTTTGAGTGGAAAGAGGAATCACTCAAAAATACGAAGAATATCCATGGACGATACCATCCATGATGAACTAGAAAACTTGCTAGAAATCCTAATGAAAAATGGATGCCCATTTAAATTCATAGATAAGAATCTAAAGCCGAAAAACGTCATAGTACATGTAGATACTGCTCTGGAAACGATTTTACTACTGAACTTTGAATTCAAGGAAGATAATTCAGCAGGTATACTTCAAAAGAAACTATCAAGGTTCATAAACATAACATCCTTCACGGACAATTTTAGAATTACATTCTCCTGTCAGAAACTCATTCGTCAGCAAAAAAAGGATAAGCCGTAGCACTGGGTCACATTAATATGTGTATATGAGCTTACTTCCTCCTGTGAAGCCAAGTACATCACCTGTACTATGCGCCAGCCTATACAGCGCACTCGCAAACACTATCCAACTTGCTTGACAAAGGGGGAACAGAAATGCATCCTTAGCTCTATAACAGAACACTTAGTAAACTTAAAACATTTGCCTTCATTTTCACAAATCCTCCAAAATTCTGTACAAAATGCTACTAAGCTACTAGAAAGAAGTGAGACTAAAACATCTATGTACAGCTTAAGCATTAGTGATTCAGAAATTCAAATCATCACTATGCCTTCAAAAGAAGTACATATAACCTCTTTCTTTGCCATGGTCATCTTAGATTATCGATCACTCCAAATAACCCAAATATGATGTAACTATTTTTTATTTTGTTGATTTCCTCATTGCGTAATTTTCTTTTGTGATACAATTAATACTGACCTTTGAACAGGAATTAAACTGCAATATTGTATCATTTTTGCCATATGTTCAGGAATTATTATTATTATTATTATTAGTCCCTTGGGTTCCTAGTGGAACATAGGGCTTCAGTAGCACGTCTCTATTCAACTCTGTTCTCTGAGATCTTTTGAACCTGGTTCCACGACAGCCCACAACCTCTCATTTCCTCCTCTCACGACCTCCTCCATGTCACCCTTGGACGTCCAACTCGTCGCTTCCCATGGGGATTCCACTCGAGCAACTGGCCTGATGCGTGATGTCCCCAATCGGCCTTCTCAGTGCACGCCAAATCCAATCCATCTCCACTTCCTCCTGCATATTTGTTGCTTGATAGGTTCTTGGTTGGTTCGTTCCCAGAGCACCTTGTTTCTTATTCTTTCTGGCCATCTGATCTTCAGTAGTGAGCGTAAGCAATTGTTGATGAATGTCTGTAGTTTGTTGGAAATCCCTTTCGTAACGCACCAAGTCTCTGAACCATACAGAAGCACTGACTTGACTGGCATTGTGTTGAAAATCAGCATCTTGTTCACGCTTTGTATTGAGTGCAGGAGATCTTCACACTGGTTTCAGGTTAATCAACGCCTGTCTTGTTTTTCCGATTCTGACTTTGACATCCTCATCTGTGCCGCTACCTGTAGTTGAAACAGTGCTTCCCAGATAGGTGAAGGAGGCTACTTCCTTTAGGTTTCTCCGGTTCACGGTGATTGGAGCTTGTTGTTGTTGGTTGGGTATCTTCATCACCTCTGTCTTCTCTATATTCACTTGAAGTCCCGTCTTCGCTGCCTCTTCTGTCAGCTTGTTAGTTCTTGCCTGTAGATCTTCAAGTTTATGTGACAGCAGGCACAAGTCATCGGCGAAATCCAAGTCTTCTAGGTTCTTTTCCGCAGTCCAGCCAGCGTATCCCCCTCTTCTCGCTCCTCACTGTTTGTTGCATGATCCAGTCCACCACAATCAGGAATATCATGGGGAATAGTAGGCAACCTTGTTTCACTCCTGTCTTCACTTCAAAATCATCACTGAGCTTCCTATTGTAAATTACTTGGCTGGCATGTGGCATCTTCATATAGTTGTTGAATGAGGCTGATAAAGAATTGCGGTACTCCGTAGTGATGAAGCAGTTTCCAAATTACTTCTCGGTCGACGCTGTCAAAGGCCTTCTCGAAGTCAATAAAGTTGAGGTAGAGAGCTGATTGCCATTCTATACTCTGTTCTATGATGATGCGATGTTCAGGAATAATTTCATATTATTGATATTATGTGATGACTGTAGGCGAAATGAAAATCTAGAGGGTGGCAGGATTGGAGCTAGTCACCTCTACACTATTAGCCTAGTACTCTACTTACTAAGCTACGAAGCTCAGCTTCTTATCAGATATTAATTTCACTTCAATCACCAAGAGTTTTTTTTCGGACTGATGTGTGAATGCATTTTTTTCTATTCAGCGTATTCACATTGGATGATACTTAGTCAAGCCTTCTCATTACATGATATTGATTATCACTGTGACCATCTGAGATAACTATAGTTTAGTAGGCTCATATCATTGATATTAGATGATTCTTAAGTTGTGAATGCGGCGATAGATCACCGGTTACAAATCCTACCACAAGCTAAACTTTCATTTCACTTTCAGTTATCACCTAAATCTTGATTATCTCAAATAATCAAACTGATAATTGATTATTTCGTTATGTTTTATATACTTTTTATCATTCATTTTTCTGTCAAAAATCCAAACTGTGGAAATCATTACAATTAATATTTTTTAGGCCTAAACTCTAAGTTCAAAAGAAATTTATTCAGTCACCTAAGAATATATTTTACCCTCAAAATCTTTTCATTTATATCTCACATATTACATTCTTTCACATCTATACCTTTTAATTCTAACTTCTTATTTCATTCACTAGTCCCTTTCAACCATATCATGTCATTGAACTTAATAATCAGATATTGCTTTGGTTTCAATCTATGTAGGGTACTGATCTATGATTGGTTTATTGTGCTTTTTGATATGAATCTTTCCAAATTTGTTAAAAGTACCCGCTTTGGCCATATTGAATACTTTAGTCAAACGTTTCTACTCTCTATAGTTTATTATCTTCATCAGTTTGTATTTTAGTAACTAATTTCTTGATAATCTTGTGAAATTATTCTTTTTGACATAGTTTACTGATACGTTCTATTGCAGTAGAATAACTTCACTAAAACATCTTTCGTTTTATGACATAATTCCATCATTTTGTAAGTTACATTTGTAAGGAAAAACTGTTTGTTCATTTTCTTTGCTTTCAAGCACGTCAGTGATGAACAATAAATAGATAGACAAGTAAATTTTTCTTAAGGTATTGTACCCACCACGTTCTTATTTAAGTGACAACGAAAAAAACCCATCTGAGAATGAAACAAAACAGCCGGAAAACTGTTAGAGTATATCGGCAAAATGAAGTTCTAAGTCCTTGAAACCATCTCAAAAACAATCATATAGCGTGGAAGTTTCGAGGAAAAGAATATGAATCGATATGTAAAAATTAGATTGGTCAAAGACAAAAAATTAACATGATATGCCCGTCAAGAAAGGTTCAGAAATGGTCAAAACCATTTCAAATATATATCAGCCTTTACATTTTGTGAAAATACCGGAGAGGATATATATATATATATATATATATATATATATATATATATATATATATATATATATATAAATTGTCTTTTAGATTCCTAGTAGAACATACGGCTTCAGTAGCATGTCACCATTTCACTCCCTTATCTGCAGTCTTTCCAACCCACCTCCACAAATCCCCACAACCTTTCATTTCTCCCTCACACCATCTCCTCCATGTAACCCCCACATCGCACGCTAAACTCGTCCTTTCCCATTTCGCTTCCACTCGACGACATAGCCTCGCCTGACACGAGATGTACATAAACCATCTCCTTAGTGTATTTCCAGTCCAGTCCAGTCCAGTCCAGTCCAGTCCAGTCCAGTACAATCCAATCCATCTCCACTCTATTCTGCATATTTGTTGGACGATGGCTTCTTGGTTAGTTCGTTGCCAGAAAGCCTGTCAGCCAACCAGCCAGCCAGCTAGCAAGCCAGCTAGCCACCCAACCAGAGGGACTCCCTTCTTCCTCGTTACTTATTCTTATTATTCTAAACATCCATCAGATCCTCAGTGTCAGCATCGAGTGAGTGTAGGTGGCAGCTGTTGATGCATGTCTGTAGTTTGTTGGAAATGCTTTGCACAAGGCACCACCAAGTCTGTCAACCATCACATGGAAACACTGACTCACTTGACTGACATGAGTGTTGAAAATTCGGATATTGTTCAGGCTATATGTTGAGTGCAGTGTAGTGTAGTGTAGTGCAGTGTAGTGCAGTGCAGTGCAATAGGTCTCCACACTGGTTTCAGGTTGATGAAGGCCTATGTTGCTGTCTTTCTGATCTTGTCTGCTTTCACATCCTCATCTGTGCCTCCACCGCCACCGCCACCGCCATTGCCATTGCCGAAGCCTGTAGTTGAAACGATTCTGCCTTACCTGGATGGATGAAAGGGACAACTTCCCTCAGATTTCTTCCGTTGATGGTGATTGGTGGTTGTTGTTGTTGCCGTTGGTTGGGTATCTTCCTCACCCGTGTCTTTTCTACGTTCGTTCACTTGAAGTCAGTCCCGTCTTTGCTGGCTCTTCTGTCAACTTGTTGATTTTCGCCTGCAGATCTTCGAGTTTGTGCGACAGGACACTAGACATGAATCGTCGTCGGTGGCGAAATTCGAACCTTCTAGGGTCTTTCTATTGGTCAAACAGTGTATCCTAAACTCCCTGCTCTTCACATTTTGCTGCGTGATCGAGACGACCACAATCAGGAAGATCATGGGTATATATATATATATATTAACCAGCCCTTAGGATCAAGATATACTGGATAAAGGATTCTTAACTTGTTTACTAGACTGTTTGGAACGAATAGAGGTCAACGGAATGAATCTATCACTATTGTCCTTCGCTTTGTATAGGTGATACTTGGTAAAAGCTTTAGGAATGTTTTCCTCACTATGTAATCCTGAATAATTAAAACTGTTAGTTGGTTGAAAGTGATCACCAGGATGCTCTCCTAGAGTTATGTTTCGTTTTTGTTGGCACTCATTAGCAAGGCGTATCCTAAAGCTAGAGGGAACTAATGTCTCCTCTGAGATTCGGACCCACATCACTATGTCGCAGTCAGCGATGTTATCGCTGAGGTATTCGCTCTGTGACCAATCTCATGTTGGGCTAGATTAAATACATCGGTTGTTCATTGCAAAACAATCAGTTTGGTCTTTTCTAGTACCAAGTGCTGACTGAATTCTAGTGATCGTTATCCCAAGTGACGAAACTAGGAATGTTCCATATTAACATGTAGAACAGTAGTCCTTAAATATGGTCCACCTTGAACTAAAACAGTCATTTGCAAAATGTGCTTTATTTCCTCTTCTGCTTCTCTCTTGATCTACTCTTAATACGCTTAAATTATCTCTTGCATTTCTCCCGACATAATCCTTACCCATGATTTCTGCCGCCCTCTCAATATATACTACTTATATCCATTCTTATCAGCGACGTCCACTACGACATAAATTCTGATTTCGTTGTAACAGCCAGTTATGAGTTTCTAAAAAAAAATAAAGTTTATTCACTTCTGTGTCAAGTTCATCTCAACAGTAGACATATGGTTCTCAGGATTCAAAGAAAGACTCCATGAACGGATATTATTTCATTGTACCAATTGGGTAGACAGATAACCAGTCCAATACACAAATGCTCATACATACACTCATGAAACTTTTAGAAACTCACGATAAAACTAGAATGGTAAGACAGTTGTTGCTGTTGTTGTTGTTTACAGGATCATGAACCAAATTTGTACAAATCAACTTCGCCATAATTAGTAATTCATCATATGGGCACATTGTATAGTGAATTTGATTAACATTTTCATTATGTATCATAATTGTATATCGTTCTGGACTGCAAAATGTACAGAATTGTTGACAATGTTTGATATGTTTTGGTGTATTTACACTGAATAAATTTGATGTTTGAATATTTCCAAATCTACGTTTCATTGTTTTCAATAAAAGAAATCGATTACCAAGATTTACTATAATGAAAGAAAAATAGAAGTGAATTGTAATCTCTTATACAACCAATCCAGAAATAGTAGTATGTCTGATAAGAAAAGTATTTTAAGCCAATTATGTGCAAAGTTTGTATTGTTTCAATGTTAACCTGAATCGTAATGAATAGTACAGAGCATAGAATGATAGTCAACTTTCTACCTAGACTTCAATGATTTCGAAAAAGGCCTTCGACAGCGTCGATCGAGAAGCAATGTGATACCTGCTTCAACACTACGGTTTTAGTGCCATAAACCTTTATAAACCTCATTCAACAGAAGCTATATGATGACGCCATATGCCAAGTGATTCACAATGGAAAGCTCAGTGATGCCTTAAGGGTGAAGACAGGTAGGATTAAGAAAAGGCTGCCACCTGCAATCACTGGTGATCTTCCTGATTGTGGTCGACTGGATCATGCGGCAAACCGTGAAGAGCAGAGAGATGAGGATACACTGTTTAACCGACAGAAAGACCCTAGAAGATTTGAATCTTGCCACCGACGACGATTCATGTCTACTGTCGCACAAGCTTGAAGATCTACTATGGACAATAAATTATTTTCGAAACGTAATCCAGTAAATAATAGTGATACACTGTGTGATAAATCTAATAAATCAGTAAAAATGGAATTACATTCTACCACAGTGCACAAGTTTTAATCCCATATTAATGAAACATATGGTCTTCAAACTCGAAGACCAATCAACAAAAACCAACAAGTTGACAGAAGAGTCAGCATAGACGGGACTGACTTCAAGTGAACGAACGTAGAAAAGACACGGGTGAGGAAGATACCCAACCAACGGCAACAACAACAACAACAAACACCAATCACCATCAACGGGAGAAATCTAAAGAAAGTTGTCTCTTTCATCCATCCAGGTAAGGCAGAATCGTTTCAACTACAGGCTTCGGTGGTGGCGGTGGCGGTGGCGGTAGAGGCACAGATGAGGATGTCAAAGCGGACAAGATCAGAAAAATAGCAACACAGGCCTTCATCAACCTGAAACCAGTGTGCAGATCTATTGCACTGCACTGCACTACACTACACTGCACTGCACTCAACATATAGCCTGAACAATATCCGAATTTTCAACACTCATGTCAGTCAAGTGAGTCAGTGCTTCCATGTGATGGTTGACAGACTTGGTGGTGCCTTGTGCAAAGCATTTCCAACAAACTACAGACATGCATCAACAGCTGCCACCTACACTCACTCGATGCTGACACTGAGGATCTGATGGATGTTTAGAATAATAAGAATAAGTAACGAGGAAGAAGGAAGTCACTCTGGTTGAGTAGCTGGCTGGCTGGCTGACTGGCTGGCTGACAGGCTTTCTGGCAACGAACTAACCAAGAAGCCATCGTCCAACAAATATGCAGAATAGAGTGGAGATGGATTGGATTGTACTGGACTGGACTGGACTGGACTGGACTGGACTGGACTGGAAATACACTAAGGAGATGGTTTATGTACATCTCGTGTCAGGCGAGGCTATGTCGTCGAGTGGAAGCGAAATGGGAAAGGACGAGTTTAGCGTGCGATGTGGGGGTTACATGGAGGAGATGGTGTGAGGGAGAAATGAAAGGTTGTGGGGATTTGTGGAGGTGGGTTGGAAAGACTGCAGATAAGGGAGTGAAATGGTGACATGCTACTGAAGCCGTATGTTCCACTAGGAACCCAACAGACAAATAATAATAATAATGGTGTAACTTGACTTAGGTGTAGGATTTCAAGACTAATTCTTATCACTAATCATATAGTGTCATAATCAAGGCGGAGACCAGAAAAAGCTTGTTGGCAATCAGATCCTTAGTTATAGATAAGAAAACTAGCAATCCTATGACCATTCACCAGTTACTTCACGATGGATTTACTGAATTTCTAGTGAAAATTCGTGATATGTGAAGTCAACCAACTGAAGCGTAAGAATGATCTCCTGTTGCTGACATCGGATGTTGAGGATGATGATGGTGTCAAGAACTGAACTGGATGATTTCAAAAGCGTAGACCACTGGTCTTCAACTCATTGATATGCCTATCTTGGAATCAGATGATCGTAGTTTCGAATCCATATGAATCCTGGGTTTCATATATTTGAAAGTTTCAAAGTGGAATAACAGCTTTTCATGATTCTCAATGCTGATATCGATCAATACACGATTGAAACTGGTTTGGAAAGCTATTTTGATTTTCACAAATCACCTACTTAACTATATCAAAATTACAGTAAGTTTTATATATATTACATTATTATTTGTCCCTTGGGTTCCTAGTGGAACGTACGGCTTCAGGAGCACGTCTATAGTGCACTCTCTTCTCTGCAAACTTTTCAACCTAGATCCACAATTACCTATAACCAGAAGCTCTCATTTCTTCCTCACACCATCCCCTCCATCTCACCCTCGCCTCGGACGCCCAACTCAAGGGCCTGGCGCGTGATGTCCCCCAACTGGTCTTCTCAGTGTATGCCCAATCCATCTCCACTTACCTCTGCATATTTGTTGAGCGATAGATTCTTGTTTGGTTCGTTGCCAGGCAGCCAGCCAGCCAGACTCAGTGACTTCCTTCTTGCTTATTATTATCATTCTGGCAATCCATCTGAGCTTCAGTAATGAGCCAGTGTAGGCACTTGTTGATGAATATCTGTAGTTTGTTGGAAATCCCTTTCGTAACGCACCAAGTCTCTGAACCATACAGAAGCACTGACTTGACTGGCATTGGTGTTGAAAATCGGCATCTTGTTCACGCTTTGTACTGAGTGCAGGAGATCTCCACACTGGTTTCAGGTTAATCAACACCTGTCTTGCTGTCTTTCCGATCCTGGTTGCATTGACGTCCTCGTCTGTGCCACCACCGCCTGTAGTTGAGACAGTGCTGCCCTGCCCAGATAGGTGAATGAGGCTACTTCCTTTAGGTTTCTCCCGTTGATGGTGATTGGAGCTTGTTGTTGTTGTTGTTGGTGGTGGTGGTGTTGTTGTTTGGGTATCTTCATCACCTCTGTCTTCTCTATATTCACTTGAAGTCCCGTCTCCTCTGCCTCACCTCTTCGACGAAATCCAAATGCTGTAAGTTTGAAGGATATATTTTTTAATTCTACAAGTAGTGTAAACATGCACTCAAATAAATGTTGTTCTATAAATGAAAATGAGAGAAACTAGGAATTGAAAATATTTGTCTCCCAATCAAAATTAAAAATATACAATGAATATGAAAGATTTTAAACAACTAAAAATTTCCAATAACAATCTGATTGAAGAATGTTTTTTTTTTCAATAGGCTCTCACCAGGTTTTACAATGATGAAATGCATTTGTACAGAGTAAAACCAAGCCATGTTATTGGCAGTTACATTTTCAAAATGGAGTGAGATCTATGGATTAAATTAATTAATATTGGGATGATGCAAATACAGAAGAATGATGGTGAACAAAAAGATAATGAATAAGATGGCAGGAGTGGCCCTTAGTTTGCTGAAGCCCAAGCGAGAAGGAACGCTTGGATATGTCCTTTCTGAATGCATAGTTCAGGCTTAATCAACTTTATTGCAATAACCTTCGTTATGTTGAGCAGGCGTTGATGAACTTTACGTGGTGTCATCTTTGGAACATGATGAATGACACTGAAAGCTTTATTGGTATCTGGATCATGCTAGTTGTCGACTAAATGAGCTAGGACTGGAGGTTTCACCACTTTCACTTCGCCCTTTCCGAACCAAACTGGCAAGTGGTCCAGAGATGTACCTGCTAAATCGTACGCCATATGTAACTAGCTCCACGGGAAATAGTTAAAGTGATATACGCAAGTTGAAGAGCTAAGATTAGGTAGGCTATCCTTCAGTCTCAGACTAATCATTGGTCGACTAGTGAATGATATACAATGCCAACCTGGATAAAACTTCTTATTCACTGCTCTAGCTAGACTTTGTGATAGACTGTCACTTGTAATGTCTCCCTTGGATTGTAAGCGCAGAAACTAAGGCTTCTTCCACACTGTCATCAGTTTTCGTTTGGGACCAATTTAGTTGGTGTTAGTTTTGATGAAGTTGTTGGGATATCCGTTTTCACTTAGAATATCACGGATACACAGTACTTTTTTCTCCACACACTCCTTGGAACAAATCGATCTTACTATAAATGTCAGATACCTGATTATATTAAGTTTGTACTTTACTGGCGCGAAGCTGGGAAAGTGAGTATATTATGCCTTAGACGCTAGTTTTCTATATATGCTTCTCAGTATAGAGCAATCTTTTCTAGTCATTAGCACATCAAGAAAATGTATTGAATCATTGATTTCATTTTCATGTGTGAAATAAACTGATGGATGAGAGCTGTTGAAATGGTTCAGAATAGAGTTAATACATATGCACCTATAAAAGACTGAAAAAGTATCATCCATGTATCGACAGTACAACTCCATATTACCAATTTGATCTTTCAGAGTCAGATATAAACGATGAACATTCTTCTCAATAACTTCTCGCCAGATTCTACAGTTATAAAATCAATTCGCTTAACGTATTAATAGTCGAAATTTGCGGCAAATGGGTTTTAGAATGTGTATGAAATTTCAATTACAATAGGACTGTTTAAACTTGTGGATGGTAGTGTAACTTATATGTATAAGGTATGTGTATGTATGTATATGTATAAGGTAGAATTCGTAGTGGACTGTAATCTGTTGAAGAATCACTGGAAACACAGCAGCACCAGACAGCTGGTTCCTTTCAGTGTGTGACTGCTTAGCGGTACCCACTCATGACGCCACTGGGGATCCAGCTCAAGACCTTCAGGTTTCACGGCAAGCATGTTACCCATTCAACCACTGCATCGGAGTTCATTCAAGGTATTTAGCTGGCATCCGCCTCATTTCCGACTGGCTGACCCCACAGGTCACGACTTCTCCTTAGAACTTCAAGATGTCCATCTAGAAGCATGTCTTTAATAAACACTATACAGTGCTCCCAGGTTTTCACTGT